TCCCTCTCGCTTCATGAATGCACACCCTGTGATAGCACACCAGTGGGAAACTCAGACACCAGTTCTAAAAACTGCTGCAGCTGGCAGAGCTGCCGAGCGCGGCGTCCAAGGGAAATACACCCGGCATGTCACCGTGTCACTGCGCCCACAGCGTCGACGGGACAGCTTGGGATCGCTCCAGAAAGAGCCAGCGCTGGCCAGCGCCTTGGCCCTCGCTCCCCTCCTGAAATAGGTGGTTGTGTGGTTCAGAGCAGAGGAGAAGCCTTTTTTGTGCTCATTTCTTGCTTTTTAACCTCTAACACGCAGCCACTTTCTGCACACCGAGGGCATTCTCAGTGTGCCAGGATTTTCCACGCGTGCACCCACAGAATGTTTCTCAAGTGCGCAATCCCAACAAAGCCAGAAAAAATAACCTCACTCTAGGAAGAAATGGAATCTAATGACCACTTCTGGCCAAGATGTGTAAAAAGGAAAAGCAGTCCTGGAAACGTTTTCAAGCACTGAGCCTCCCACCTCCTGAACTGCAATGTGCGTACTTCTTTCTGCAGAAACCCCAACCCTCCCCTACCTGGGCTCAGAGGTAAAACCCACCCATCTCTTGCCCTGGCACATAGCGTGTGCCATTGAACATACCAGAGCTGTCAGGATGGGAAGCAGAACCACTCCAATGGAACTTCCCTGCTGCCACCTAGTTTTTAATTTTTTGTCTGCCATTCTCAGCACCGCATCAGTACATTACTCATTAACAGAAATGCTAACATGGGAAAACAACTTTCAATTTTAAGGCTAACTTGAGCTACTTATCAGCCAGAAATCACCTAGCAAACCTCATTTTGTGTTGCCTTTCTCCATACCTGTGCTGGAAAGTGAAGCTGTGGGGAGCTCACTATAAATTGCCACGTCCTGCCCAAAAAAGCAGTACAGAGTGTTACCAGTCATTTACCTTATACAGGGCAGTCAGTAAATCTCTCTTTTGTGCCACTGCTCATGATTCAGTTAAGTATGAGGGCACTCGTGGAGATGTTAGAAGAGCTAACTCACATGTAGGGGTGCTGCAGGTGTCCCTGAAACGCAGCAGGCTTCTGCTGATGTAGATCTGTGAGCTCTTCCAAGGGAGAGGACCCTCAGCGCTTCCCCTTCTGCTGGACACCCCCTGACCTGCAGGTGGGAGCTGCTGCCACCAGGTCATGGAGAAATCAACCCTCGCTCATAAAACTCTGCTCTGGAGCACAGAGCAGCTCATTCAGACACAACCAATACACTGGGAAGAGCTCATAGCAATGCTTAGTGAAGGGAATTGTTTAAATTAACCATGTGAAGACAAAGGTTAATGGCAAGTCAACCTCCAAAGCCTGGCAGGCAGCTTGACCTGACTGTCTGACACAGTAAAGAGAGACGGCATCCACTAACAGAAATGTTCTCTGTTATGCAAAGAGGAAACCACTCTGTTTGTTTGTGGCTTTGCACTAGACAGACTAATCCTTCCTCATCTCATTCTGCAATTAGCTGCTTCGTTATCTCTTCCTTTTTTATTTTGCCAGTCACCTGCACCTTTACCTGTCAGAAAATGAGGAGTCCATGCGCCTTCCCCAAGTGAAATGGTTGTGGAAACACTTGGGCAGGAAGACAAAACACAGCATCATCTGCACATCTGCGGGTGTGGTTTACTGGGTTTTTCTGTTTTCTCAGCAGACATCAGAGCCTGTGTACCACTGCCATGCATCATCTGGCGAAAAAGAGGAGAGCCAGGAACGACCCCTTCCTGCAGCCCTAATGGGGTCCCTGTGCCGAGAGAAGGCAGGAGGAGCTTTGTGTGACAAATGAAGTGGTGGCGATGGAGCAGATGCCCCGGAGAAAACTTCCCCTTTCTCACTGGAATCTGCTGCGAGCCACGGCTGCTCCCCTCGCCTTGTGCCACCTCCAGGGACTTGGATCCACACTGCTGGAATCGGATGGTATGTTTCTGTTTAGCACAAATGTATTTACAGAGCCTCTCCGTGAACCCAGATGTACGCATCCCGAAACTATAGCCCCTCTGCAGAACAATAAAGTCTGCCTCCCTGCTAAATCCTTCTTCAGAAACACTCAACTTTTAACATCAGCACCTACGTCAAAAATCAGGCATAACTGTGCTCTTCCTAAATGCTTTCCTGTATTAAAAAAAGAAAGATATTCTGGGTTACAGCATGTATCTTTAGAGTATAGCTTTAAAAGAATGAAATTACCGCTCATTTCCCACTATGAAGTAAAGCTGTGAACTGCCCAAGTCCAACTCCATGAACGCTATCAGCAGTCAAACCCCTGAATACCTACAGAGAACCCCCAGGGTTTCGCACACGGAAGACTGACAATCTTGGTTTATAGGCTGAATTCTGGGATACGTGCATCTGCCTATTTGTTTAAGGAGTACCAGGAGATGTCTAAGAAATCTCAGCACCAGGTACACGGTCACACAGGCAAGCTCTGGAGTAGGACGGTGTCACCCAGCCAGCCCCAAGCTGAGGTTTCTTTTTGGCAAAAGATTACGACCCGCTGACAAGTTCAGAAGGAGCAAGCACTCGATTGCCCAATGTGGCCTTTTCCTGAAAATCCAGCTGGCAGCGTCTAGGGAGGCTCCACAACTGCACTAATTCCACAGGAAAATAATGAAAGATCTGTTAGGAACAAGATGAGATCAATGCACGTCCCCTCTTAATGAGCACGTTAATGTATCGAACGTCCCCAAGGAGCGCTGTGTTCTGCAGCAGCTCAGAAATCCCATTATGCTGTTTTCAAGGCAAGGAAACGAGGCCAGCTCGTGATCTCACTTCTGACGGTGCACGCAGTGCCTGTTGCACATTTTTCTACTTGCTCACCACTGGATGAATGCGAGTTTCCATGACTGCTTTCTCTCCACTTACAGCTTCCCTCGGCTCCCAAAACCTGTGTTACCAGGTGGGAGAGGCATTCTCACCAAATTCCTCTCTCTTCCCCAGTCTCAATGCTCAGATCCCTCAGGCCGCTGTCCAGCTCACTCAGTTATTTATTTCTCTTGGTTGAACACCTGCATCCAGGACACAAGAAATGAGCTGCAAGCTCCTGTTGCAATCAATTCAAGAAGGGTGCATAGCAAAGGATGGCTCAGAGAGGAAAGGCACTGAGGATACCTCACAGGAGCCAAACCACACCGAGGAAAGGAGAAAAGACCGATTCTGGTGACTTTACACACAGCCTAGGTAGCTTTCACCCTCCTGAGATGATGAAGCGAATGACAGCTTAGAGTATTAGCTCTGCTGCTGCTCTCTTCAGTGGGAGCCTGGAGTGACAGTGGCTGGCAGAAATACAAACATTAGGATTAAGGGAAGGGCTGAATCTCTGGGATTATCCATTAAATGCATGAACTCAACAGGCCACAAACACAAACATTACCTTACCTTGTTGATGGACTTCAAAGAAGGTATTTTGGAGTGCTGGCTGCTCCCAGCAGTATGTGCTGCTCCAGTACCTGAGCAGTCCCAGCACAGCAGATTCCTGTGCTGTGTTCCCTGTGGTTCTGCAGAGCTCTGCCCAGACACAAGGGGAGGGCTCTTCCCTTCCATGCATCAGCACCAAAAA